GTCATCATCGTCATCTCCATCATCATCATCATGATCATCATCATCATCTCCATCATCATCATCATCTCCATCATCATCATCATCATCATCATCATCTCAGCTCCCATCTCATGGCATCTCAATCAAAACAGCCGTCGGCTTACCTGCAAGTCTTTGACTCGCTTCGCCAACATGGGAGGAAGCTGCAGTTTTGCTTCAGCTGCAAACCAAAGCAAGAGGGAACTGATGGTGATGGAGTAGGCGTGGCGAAGGAACAAGAGGAGGGAGAGGAGGAGAGGCGAGCTACGGAGCAGGACCTGCAGCTTTAGAAACTTCGCGGACGCGTGTACTGTCTGTTCGCCTGCTCCTGATTGCGCGATGTCCAGCAGGTCCTGAAGTAGAAGTTGAGAGAGGTTTGATCGCGAGACAGGAAGATCGAGACGAAGGCAACACACCTTGATGCCAACTTTGTAGTCAGGTCTCTCAGCTTGTTCCCAGATCAACAAGTTTCGTTGTGTAGTATTGAGTTTCATCAGATCGTCATACTTGTTGGAACGCCCCGACTCCTGTTCACCACAAACTTCAATCATCGACGAGAGAGCAGCAACGATCAACATCAGAACAAGAGAGAAACATGCGTGCAGGTATTGCGATCGTTCAGGCATGTGAGATAGCCGCAAAGAAACGAAAACATCGCATTGAAAGTTGTCAGCAACAGTTTGCGAAAAGACATGTAACATTTTAATGGAGACTTATGTCGGGGTGAAGAGAGAGGTGGAAGAGCAGCGGGAGCACAACGAGGGCACAGAAGAGATGGAGAGAAAAACCTGAGCCAAGGTAGAATGAGAAGACGATGACGAGGTCGAGCTCAACGACGACAAGGAACGGAAGTTTGGACTTGCAGGGGAGCGAGGCGAAGAGGAGTGAGAGACTGTAGATGGAGCAAGAAAAGTAGAGGAGGCATAGGAGAAGGAGAAAGCAGAAGAGGAGAGGGAGGGAGGGAGGGAGGGGAGGGAGGAGGAGCAGGAGAAACTTCTCCACGACCGTCGCCAACAACGCGCAGTGAGCATGAAGCAGGGGAAAACTGGGGGGCAGGTCAAGGCAGGGATGGTCACGTGGGGGTGGGGTACATTGGTGACAGGGGTAGTCCCAGAGGAGCACATGCAATAGAAAGCAGGTGGAAATACAGGGGTACTCTGAAGAGTGTATGTGCAGTTGGGGGTGGGAGAATCAATTGTGGGGGTAGGGGTAGTACTGGGAAGGCCCCCTTTTGGGTGAAGGTTAGAACGTCGAAACTTTGATAGGTGTAAAGTTTAGATGTTTCAAGTTTAGAAGTTTCAAGGGCCGGAAGTTTGGAAGTTTGGAAGTTTCGGTCGAGACCATGGAGGCGATGCAGCCGCTGGCTGTGAGTGCAGGGGGGCGACCGAAGCTGGAGGATGGCGAAGTTGAGGTGAGAGACATGCACGAACGGTGCTGAGAAGCCGATCCTGTGCTGATCATGTTGCGATGAGGAGGATGAGATGAGGAGGATGGTGGTGAATGTGATAGAACTACAAGTGCGAACGCGATGCGTATGAGTTGGAAGGAACAGAAGAAGGTTTCAGCTATCCTGTGCCTGCTGCCTTGCAGGCAAGGATCAATGAGTGATATGAGGAAAACATCATTACAGCACCGATCAACATCACTCTGCATCGAGCCTGATCTCGCTCTGTCTTTCTCAGATCAGAATGGAAACGGGTCTCAGCTTCTACAACAGGGACAAGAAGGTCTGTACATGCTCGTTCCTCATGCACATCGGAATCAGCCCATTGAATCAGCTTCCTTCAGCTGTACGCCGACGGCCTTGTGACCGTCACCACTCATCGCATTCTTCTTCAATACACAGAAGGCAAGCCTGCTTGAATCCCTCCCTCCCCACGAGCAGGGTTTCTCACAAGCATGGCAGTGAAGTGGTACCTCGAGCTACGGCTGATTGAGAACGTCACAGAGAAGGTAGGAGGAGGATCGTTGTGTCGCTCTGATCTCCTGCAGTCCAAGATGTTCAGCTCTCCTCGCATCGTCTTGCATCTTTCAGGGGGCACACCGGGGGCGGGGGATCGATACGTCATGCTCTCGTTCCCTAAGGCTGAGCTCGATATGGATGATGAGACAGCAGCTGAAGCTGCCGCAGGGCTCCAAGGACTTGTTCCTCAAAGCGTTGAAGACTGGTAACTCCCTCCTGCCCTTCTACCTCCTCCCCGTTTTCTACCTTCTCCTCTACCTCCTCCTCTATCTCCTCCTCCTCCTCCTCGCCCTCTCTCAACATGGCCCAGCGCTGGCAGAGAAGTCTTGGCTGCACAAGGGCAACAAGATGGGAGCAGGGAGCGGCGAGACGCTGGGACAAGCAGCACAACCGAGGTTCAACGCAGGTGAGGACGGAGCAGGAAGAGGTGGTGGTACAGGAGGAGGAGGAGGAGGAGGAGGTGGTGGTGGTGGTGGAGGAGGAGGAGGTGATGGTACAGGAGGTGGAGGTGGAGGTGGTGATGGTACAGGAGGAGGAGGAAGAGGAGGAGGAGGAGGAGGAGGAGGAGACGGTGGTTGAAAGCTGCTGTAGGGATCGGGACGATCTTAGAGATGCAGGCGGCGCAAGTGAGTGAAGGGGCGCGAGGGAGGAGGAGCTTGTGACAGCTTCCTCCAGCAACGGGCGACGGGCGAAGTGATGGGGAGGTGAACCGCCGGCTTGATGCCCCCACCATGACTGATGCAGCTGCTGTCAGGCACTCTCAGACCTTGATAGCCTGATGACTCACGCGAAGAACATGGTGAGGGAGGTTGCGATCAGTCCTGCCATGGGGTAACGAGCTGTCAAGATCCTTATAGCCGAGAAGATGAAAGCCATGCTCTCCAGCGCTTCCTCTGACAGTCTCCTCTCTCGGCCTCCTCCCCCTCCTCCTCACTTCTTCACCTCGCAGGCAGCAGCGCGTCTCAGAGCGTGAAAAAGAGCGAGAAGGAGGAGTACGCGAACCTCCTGATGCAGACTGGCATCTTGAGCCCTGTAATGCTTAACTCCTCCTTCCTCAACCTCTTCCCCCCCTCTCCTCCACAACCATCACTTCCACCACCACTGTCTCCTCCTCCTCCTCCTTCTTCTG